GGGACAACCGGGGAAAGAAGCCCTCTGACTACACGTGGAGCAGCAGCGCCCCGGCCAAGTGCTTTGAGTATTATGAAAGTGAGCCAGACTCTGTTGTGGAAACTCTTCCATGCCTACTTCTCAAGTTCTCCTTGAGCTTCGGCTGACGGTCCAGGGTTTAGTCCTGAGCTCCCGTCCTTGGCCATTAGGGTGTACACTGGAGTACTCCTGTCTGTAGGGAGCTGTTTTGTGCTGATGCACCAGCTCTTGCTGTGTTCCAATGGCCTATGGCATCACTAGGGAAAGGAGCCTGTAGCAACAGGAGCTGGCTGCTGGCACCTACTCTGGTATAGACCCTTTACCTGTGCCTCATTTGGCTGCACGTTTGACAAATGAGCCTCCTAGCCACAGAGTAGTTCTTTGCTAGGTCTGCATGACAAAGACAAGTGTCAAAGACAAGCCTCTCCCAACAAAATACCCTCATCTCCAAAGGCCAAAACCCACAAAATGAAATCCCCATGAACATCACCTGAACTTTATTTCCTGGCCTTCCCTCCTCTAGTTCCAGAGTGTCCTTCCTGGTGACCTTCACAGGTGACAATGTGACCCATCTTCATTCTGGGGTGGGGATGGGAGGAGGAGGCACTTCCAGTTCTATCTTAGCACTCAAAGGCTGGAGGATGCCATGCTTCGTATTGAAACTAACCTCATATACTTCCTTGATCCTTTTTTCCAGAGACACCTCTGACCCTCTCACAGCTCTGCAGGGTGAGCTTGAGGAAGGCCGCTGGCGTTCGAGAGTTGGAGAAAATTGCCAAGCTAAACATCCCTCCCCGACTTATTGACTATCTTTCCTACAACTGAGCTGCAGACTGGGGGCCATGTGCAGGCTGCTGACTTGCTTGGCTAGCGCCTTGCTGGACCCGGCCTCGGGCCTTCTGGCTGTTTGAAACACCATCGATGCTTTAGATAGACTGATGCTCCTTCAAGTCCCTTCTAGCTGCCCTGTTTGGTGTTCTCTCCTGAATCCTGGAGAAGATCTGAGGTCTCTGGAGGCCACTGTCAAGTGTCCCAGGTGTGGATGTAACTCTTGCTGATCCTAGCTCAGCTCTCCAGTTCTCTTGAAACTGACCTGAAGACACTGCTTCAAGGTGTACAAGGGAGGCCAGGCAGGACCGGAGACTCAGGATACTGCTGTCCATTTTCCTGTGTCCTGGTGCCAGGCTACAGTAGCATCAGGTCCCAAGCGCCTGACTCTGGTCTGGGATGACAGCTTTTCTGGCGTTTTGCCACTTGGACACTCTTTCGGAGGGAGCATCTGGCACTTTCCAAGGTCTGCCTGCACCCAGGTGTATCTGTCACTCAGGGGCTTTCTAAAGATCAGAGTGGGGAAAGCTCAGGCTCGGTGCCCCCACATCTAGCAGTGTTTTGGGGGATGTCTGTCTCCAGTATTAGGATACAAGTCTCCAAGTTTCTGTTGGGAGCTGGCTCAGTGGTTGAGAGTACTTGCTGCTCTTGCAGACCAGAGTTCTGTTCCAAGCACCGATAGTCTGGGGCTCACAACCTCCTGTAACTCCAGCTCTGAGGGATCCAGCACCCTCTTCTGGCTTCCACAGGAACTGGCACACGTGTGTGCATACACACACACACACATACA